ACCAGGTCATCTACTTGTTAGGACAAATGTCAAGAGAAAAAGCAACAGATCCATTTAAGCAGCACATATTAAACCTGCTGCTCACATCATTTTCATTAGTATTTTGTTGGCTAAACAAGGTCATAAATCCAAATTCATACCAGTATTCTCTACGCACAATGAGAGGACTCTTGATCTATGATTTTGCTATAGAAAACTGAAGAATTGTAACCAATAACCCAATCTGCAAATCTCTGCATCTGAATTGCCTATACATTGCATCCCAAAACTCTGAGATCTAGGTAAGAAAAACTAGAGGGAACTGCGAGTAAACCAGCAGTCAAAACACCTGCCTCTCTCCTCAGAGTGCCTGGATTCTAGTCTAATCGTTGTTCCCAATTCCAGTTTCCCATTAATACACATGCTAGAACGCAGTAAGAGATGGTTCACTATAAATGGTATCCTGCCACTCACACTGGAGATCTGGACTGAGATCTCAACTTCCAGCTTCAGTCTATGCCACCTTCGGTGGCTGGGGACCAGAGGAGTAGTCTAACACATGGGAATTCTTTCCACCTCTACTCAAATAAAAATATAAACATAAAAATTAAGGTACAGAAAGGGAAAGGGCAAAAGGAAGTGGTTTTCCAGCAGCAGAAAAGGATTTGCCCAAGTTCACTTCCACTTTCTCTTCCCTTCTATGCACAGTTCACAAAATAAACTACAAATATCAAGATAACAATATGTAGGCAGGGTTTAGAGTTTGCCCTTGAGAACTCTCCCTAATAGAGTTAAGCATGAACTACATTCTTATCATAGTCCTGGCAAATCTATTAACATTCACTGTATAGCACGGGCCTCTTAAGTTTGCTCCCCTAAAATGGATGACATATTGTTGCACAGAGTACATGCTCAGTAAAGGAAGTTGGATGAGTGAGAGTCAGAATTTGAACACTAGAGACAGGAGAAGAATATAAGCAGGAGGTTTACTATGCTTACTATGCATTCTAGGTTGGGAAACTAAATGTTGTATCACAGTCAGCCTGAATGTTATGGAAATTCATTATCTGATGGAAGTATGTGATCTCAAAAGCAGTTTCAGCTATGAGAATGTGGCTTCTCTGCAGCATTTTCAAAAGGAACAAAATAGCCTGACCTTTCTCTATATCAATTGTTTTCCATTTATTTGTAAACCTTTTAAAATCACTTATGAAACCCACACATTTACATGACCCACTCTACTTGGCGTTTGAGTGTTTATGTGCTTCCTGTGAAGATAGCTAGACAGAAAACACTGACAAAAGGAATGCCTGTTCTTAGCCAATGCTTGTGGGAACTGTGTAATGTGATCTTTTTCCTACCAGTGAAAACTTACTGTTTCTCTAAGAAGTTATCCATTTGAATCATTTTCAATGGATGGAAAAAGTTATAAAGCCACCAAAATGTCCTTCTAAAAATGAGTGAGGTGAATGCTAACCTAATTGCCTAAGAATGTATATGCTTGGCTTTGAAAGCAAGACTTCTACATTGGTTCCCCCTGCTGGATTTGAGAAAGCACTGTTTTGGAAATTGATGAAAACAATCTACTTTAACCTTTTTATTGGAGGGTACACAACTCAAATGGCAAATCCAACATTCCTCTAGGAGGCATTTATTCCATGATAAATATGCCAAGTGTTTCTTGAATTTGCTCCCAAAGGGTAGGAAAACTACAAATAGAAAACTGTGCAGCCAAGACAGAAAGGGAGCAACAAAAGCATGACGCTCAGCCGCCTGTGTTAGGGAGTGGCCTGCAGTGGACTGAGGCTAAACACCTAATAGGAGACGAGGGAAACTGCCAGAACATTTGTTGAAATCAAAACCTTGGGTCTGAGGGTTTCATCACAAATTTCCTTTTTATGCATTTAAAACTGCAGAAATCAATGTCTCCCATTCCTGAAACTTAGTGGCTCTTTCTTTTCCTTTCCTTTTTTCTTTCTTTCTTTCTTTCTTTCTTTCTTTCTTTCTTTCTTTCTTTCTTTCTTTCTTTCTTTCTTTCTTTCTTTCTTTCTTTCTTTCTTTCTTCCTGTCTCTCTCTCTCTCTCTCTCCCTCCCTCCCTCCCTCCCTCTCTTCCTTCCTTCCTTCCTTCCTTCTTACTGTTTTTATGTTTTAGCACACTGTTTAATAGGCACTGGGTCTCCCTTCCCCCTCCCCAAGCTTCCTCGCCTCCCCACTCTCCACTCCTCCAGTTTTACAATGGATATCTTTCATGAATTTTCACAAGCCCATCATGCTTCCACCAAGGTGTCTCCCCACAATGTAGGAGACTATTAGCCATATCTCTGTGGGACCATCCTTGTACTGCATGCAGTACTTCTCTCTGTTTCCATCTATGAACAAATTAATTTTCGCTATGCTTCCATTGTGCATCTCCTTGAGTACAGTCCACCCAAGGAAGAAAAAGGAAAGAAGATAAAGGAAAAAAAATAGTGAATCTTCATCCACATGAGGTTGAAAAACATATAGTAAAGGTATCAATGTGACACTAGGGTGGTGAAAAAGAGTGTCCAGCATCTTCACATAGGAATAAATTCCAGTGTGCATCCCATGTAGTATTGATGAGAGTAAGATAAGGACTAGATCATCATTACTTATGGGCAGTAGCAATGACAGTGATAAAAGTAACATTGAAAATTTCAGCTGATTACAAGTAATCAGTATCTTAAGGATGATTGATTAATGGATTACATTGCAAGGTCTTATTACAAAAGGTACAAATAATTAGGAAATGCAATAAGGTAGAACTCGCAGAAAAAAAAATCCTTAGATTTGACACCATATTATCTTATATAAGGGCAAATGTATGATATCTGACCTTTTGGGATTGGCTTATTTCTCTTAGCATGATGGTCTTCAGTTTGCCGCATTTGGCTACAAACAATTGAACTTCATTTTTTTAAATAGCTGAGTAGTATTCCATAGAGTAGACGAACCACAGTTTCTTTATCCAGTCCTCTGTTGATGGGCATTTAAATTGCTTCCATGTTTTTGTGATTACTGATTACACTGCAATGAACACAGAGGTCCAAGTCTTTTGAATATATTTCTAGAAGTATATTGCTGTGTCATATGGTAGGTAGTTTTTCAGTTGCCTAAGTATTCTCCATACTGAATTCCATAGTGGTAGCACCAGCCTGCAATCCCACCAGCAATGGAGTAGATTTCCTTTTTCCCTGCAACCTTGCCAAAAGATGTTGTTGGCAGATTTTTATATGTGGGTCATTCTTACTGGACTTAATTGGAACCTCTGTGTTGTCTTTATTTGAATCTCTCTTATTGCCAGGGATTGCTCTTTTTGTTTCCATATCTTCTACTCTTCCTAACAAAGCCATCTTCACTAACCAGACCAATGTTAATGGCAGTGTGTCACCTACAGACCTTAGGTCTATTGATAAACCAAGTTATAAGGTCTATCTATCTAGAGAGACAAAAAAAATCTGGCAGATATCCCCAGAAAAAAAGAGGAAATATTGGTGAAATGTTGGCATATGCTCCTGCACCTGCACCGACTTGCTCTCATTAAGGGAGCAGTACAGCTATGAAGGTCACTTTCTTTGTAGATTATCCTGCCCAAGTCCCCACAGTGAGAATCAGAAGAAAGAGAATGTCACATAAAAATATGTAATACTTGTAAATATACCATTTAGAATATTCACACACACACACACACACACACTGCTCTCAGGCATTCTCATTACAAATGACATGCTATCTCCCATGTCAAATGGCACCTTGCTGAGCAAGTAGTGGCAATTCTGCACATTTCCATGTATTCATTGACTGCAGTTCTCCACAGTTCTCTCTCTCTCTGTGTCTCTCGTTCTCTCTCACACTCTCCCCCGCCCCACTGTTTCTCTCTGTCTCTCTTACTTAATATTTTGCTTTCATTGGGCCAAATTCAAATGCGTTACCATCTCAAACACTCTTACATGGGTTCTTTCTCTGAGCTATTTGGTAAAATTGCTTCCCCCATTGTTTTGAAATTATTTTTTCAACTTTCCTGGTAGAAGCTCTCCTCTTGCCCCTACAGTGAAAGTTTAGTAGGAGGAGCAGATAGGGGAATCACAACACATAAGTCTAACACGGCTGAATGACTGGGACATGATCAGGGTGTTTTAATGAAGTTCAGATGGATGATTTTTCTACTGACACATGGCATTGGCTCTGATTACTATCCAGCGGGCACCTGAGCTGGGTTGAAGGGTGTGTCTGGCCTCTGGGTGCTGGTTGGCATGGCCCTTCTCTGGCCATGTGACTCTTAAGTCAATGGAGAGGCCTACACTTCTTTAGAGCTTGCTTCTAAGGCAGGAAGCAAAAGCTGCCAGTCCCCTGGGAGCAATTTGGAAGCCTCAGCACAGCACATCCACCACATTTCACAGATCTAAACAAGTCACAGATCCAGCTAGAATTCAAGAAGAAGAGGGACACACTTCGGGGACTTCTTGAGAGACAAAGCCATCTTTAGCCCTAAATTGGGCCAGCATAATCTGTTCAAGGTCAAATATTTCATTGCACAGTTATATTAGACTGTCATGTACAAGTTAAATGAAAATAGAATTTTTTTTTTTGCAACATGTATCAAACAGAAAAATAAAAAGCATGGAAACCCAATCAGCCAAGCTTCCTTACAGAGTTCATGTTGCTTAAGTCAAAGGAGAAAAGCAGATTGGAATTGAAATCTGTATTTCATTTTGGCAAATGCCAAGCAAGGAGAGAGACATTACCGGGACTGCTGAGTGAATTTTGTTTACTGCAGTTCAACATTTCATCTAGCAAATCATGTGAGAAAGAGCGAGTATAAATGTACCTATTTATGTAGGTAATTTTTCTGTTTCGTGCCTCTGATTCATCTCTCTGACTTGCTTTATGGGGAGTCATGCTCCATTGGTTACAATTAATTTTAGTGCTGCATATTAGCCATAAAGAAATATTTCATAAATTGACATGATGTGTTTTTTTTTCTCTGTGGTTTTCTTGAAAGATGAGAATGGTCCAGAAGAGAAACAAGGTGCAGAAGAAATAGAAGGGCAAAGCCACGAAGCAGGTGAGCTCAGGTTTCTTTTACAGAGTCTCCTAGGCCTCATGCACAGAGCTGAACAACAACTTCACTCACTGCTCTTTCTGAAAACGCGTATGACTGTTCCCCATGTTCCCTCCATTGTCTGTTCTGGTCCCCGTCTCTGTTAATACGATGGCAAGTGGTCACATCACATCCCCCGAAGCTGTTCTACTTCCTAGGACTCCAGGGTGTCTGAGAATGCTCTAGGAGATGCAACAGAGGTTGCCAGTGCCTAGTCCTTGCAGCTAGCTAAGGTCAGGACAAAAGTAGCAGATTTACTTAAAGGGAAAAGAAATGAAGCGAAAAGAGCTCAAGGTAAATGAAGAAGAGGCATTCCTTCCTCAGTGGGATGTTCTTCACTGCTTCCCATGACACTGTAAGGAGTCTTGCTTGTGGTAAGGTCTCTGCTTCTTCTAGGAAATGATGCTGTGGAGCTCAGCTACCCCCTGCACCGAGCTCCTAGTGAGACTGAACACGTTCCTGACGTCACCTCTATTCATAGAAGGACAGATGTGTCAAATGAAAGTTTATAGATTCTACATGGTACATTACAAATTGAACCTCTTTAAATAAAATAGCACTTAAGGCACAGAAGAGATTGAAATTACCTCTGATTCATTATCTCTTGCCACCCATTTTTGTATTCAAGCACACTCTCCTTTAAAAGAATGATAGGCACCGTCCCACAGTCACCAACATAACCATGTAAATAGAAACATCATTCATCCCTTTGGTTTCTAAGTCGTTCTCCCAATCCTAATGAACGCTACAGAGCAGCCCTTTTTAAAATAGCGGGTTCTGCCTAATGTGCACCAAACGCATCCTCGACCATATGATGAACTCTTAAGATTAAACCAAGACGTGTGAGAAGTTTTCCACTGAAAACTTCCTGCATTAACCTTGGAACTTGTGCTGGGAAACTAGAAGCTTTTATTATTAACCTGGAAGATGGGATTGAAGAAGGCCAATCAGAGAAAGCACTGAAGCAAGGCAGCGGGGACCTTGTGTACCTGCTACTGGGTCCACTGACTCCCTTGACTGAAACGTTCCTAGCAATGAAATGCTTCCCTGATACAGCAAGCTGTTGTTATTCGAACCACCCCTCCCCACTTCGGTCCCTAGCCCACACATCATTATGCTCTGTGGAAGATGAATCTTATGTGACAAGCTGTCACTGTTTTCGCTGTCTGAGGCTGACAAGTATTAGTCAACCAGCTGGTGACAGCTGAGGCCATCCTCTGACTGCTGTGTTCTCATGGGTTTTATTCACTCAACGTTCTGTCCCAAGTTGCCTTTATAAATTTGAATTTTATTTTCACCTCTGTACACACACCAACCCACATAAAAAAGCACAAACATATGTCTATATACATATATGTATATGTATGTATATTTTTTTAATTCATCCTTTTCCCCTTACTCAGTTGAAAGCAGGGAGTTTTGGGATGTTTGCAACCACCTTGCCTGTGGGCAGGGGATGGCAGAATGTAAGCTCTTTCTCCACCTCCAGGGAACATCTCCATATGAACAGAGAGTGGCTCCTCATGCCTTGCCAAGGGAGCCCACTGATTGGCACGGTGTCTAGCAGCAGCATTTGCTTTTGATCTTGGCTCATGTCTACATATTTTGTTATGTTCGCTCTGCTGACTTAAAAGCCTACGTAATCAGAATGCAGGGATAGCAAATTAAATCCCTTTTAACCTGTTGTAATTTTTTTCTAAAGCCTTTTTAAAGTCTTATTTTCTGGACCGGCATTGTGGAAAAGTGGCTTAAGCCATTACAAAGCTGGCTTCCTGTATGAGAGAGCCAGAGTAAGTCCTAGTTGTTCCACTTCTAATAAAACTCCCTGCTGATGCACCTGCTAAGAAACAGAAGGTACTCCTCCAAATACTCAGGCTCCTGCTTTCTATGTGGGAGACTGAAGTGGAATTCCAGGCTTATGGCTTTGGGCTGACTCATCCTTCACTATTGTAACTATTTGGATAATAAATCAGCACATGAATGATAACCATCCCTCTTTCTCTCCCCTCTTTCTCACTCTCTGTCTCTCCCTCTTTGACATTGTGCTTTTCAAGTCAGTTTTTTAAATTATTATTATCTCCCTTTTGTTCTATATAACATCTAGTCCTGCTTTTGGTTATAGAATCTTGAAACACTTCAGAAGTTAGACTTGTCATGATCAAATAATTGAAAGCTGTGCATATATGATTTACCAAGAATTAATTCAACAGATACTTATCAAGGATATGGTATGGCAGGCAATGTTCTGGGCACCATGAACATAGCAACACACAATAAAAATAATGCACCTGCTGCTTTGAAGCTAATCTTCTAGTGGGCAAAAGTCCAAACAACAAACAAATCAAAGGATACATGTATCAGATCACGATTGATGTCTTACAGAGAAGTAAGGTGATGTAACAGGAATATATAGATGACAGTTCTGCTGACAAACGCAATCTTAAGAGTCCTGGCATATAAGAGATAATTGAGATTATGGGATGGATGAACCACACCAGAAAAAGTGCGTTCATAATGAAGACAATGCAAGCACCATGACATCCAGACATGCAGCAACAGAAGAAGCCCCAACCAGCAAATGTCTCAGGAACAACAGAGTGAAGACTGTGAAATATCACTGACAAGTGAGATGAGAAAAGAGAAGTAACCATGGAGTTCATGAAGACAGGTCATTGGCACCTTTAAAGGAAATGCCTATTGGAGTGAGCCAGGCAGAGCCTTATGGGCAAGAAGACAACAATAAATACTTGTAGGTGATTTTGCTGTGAATGGAAAGTGAGAGATTGAGAAGATATTATGATATCAAGAAAAAGTTTGATTTTTTCATTTTCAAAAAACAGAAAAGAGAGAAAATTGTCACCTAAGAAAACAGTCCATCTTTTCCAGTTATCTCTCTGCTGACAATCATATCCTCTGTTTCAGTAGAGATGCCACCGAGAAGTAAGAGTAACATATATTATAAACAAAATTGATACTAGGAAATGTCATTTATATCAACATGTGTGTAAATGCTCATGCATAAATTAGGGGCCTTCAAAAAGTTCATGGAGATGTGTATTATGAAAAAATAGGCATACATTTTTTAAAAGTTTCATAAGCAAATAAACACTTTAGGTTCCATTATCTATGTTTTTTTTCCTTCTTTTTTGAAACATCATTGTATGAATTGTCTCGAGTTCCCTGACCTTGTGATCGCATGGAACCGTATATATTCCTCTTCCAGTTTCTAGGCAGTAACAATTGGACAGGTAGTCATCCTCTGGCCTGTATCTGCTGCCTTAATGTTAATGGCCTAGTTATCTTCTATCCTGGAGCCAAACACGAATAGAGCCACTGTGATGCTAGTTATCCTGAGAGGAACCATCAACTCTGATGAGACTGATGGGGTTGTGAGGGGAGCGGGAATCGTCAGGTCCCTGATCACTGTATTGTGCTTGGGAGACATGAAATCCCTGGCTTCATGGACCTGCTGCACTGAGAGCCACAGAGCTGCTCCCTGCAGGTGACAGCCTGGTGCTGTGTTAAAAGCAACCCTACTTTCCAAAATACACACTTGAAACACTCCGTAGAAACTTGCAAGCAATATGGATTCTCTCACAGTCTGCTGCCCAGAAAAGTAATAGACCATTCCTTCGGAAATGTGGAAGGAGAAAAATGCTATCATAGGTGCTGGTACGCAACTATCAACAAATGCCATGGTTCTTCAAAAGAGATCCTGAGGTCTGGTGCAATGGTTCAGTAGCTAAATCCTTGCTTGTATGTGCCAGGATCACAAGTGGGTGCTAGTTTCTGTCCCAGCTGATCTTCCTCCTATCCACCTCCCTCCATATGGCCTGGGAAAGCAGTGGAGAATGACCGAAGGTCTTGTGACCTTGTACCAGTGTGGGAGACCCAGAGGAGGCTCCTGGCTCCTGGCTTTAGATTGGCTTGGCTCTGGCCATTGTGGGCAGTTGGGGAGTGAACCAGAAGGTCTTATTCTCTGTCTCTCCTTCTCTCTGTAAATCTGACTTTCCAATTAAAATAAATAAATATTATTTTAAAAAGAGTTTCTGGAAAAAAGTATTGAGAAGATTGACTTATTTTGGTTCAGAAAAAAATTTTTAATTTAATGATACATGCGTTCCATGAGCTATCTAAAAGCCCCTCCAGGTATGCACTTCAACATTTTTTTACAACAAAATAAATGTATTTTTTATTTCCGTTTTCTTGAATGTTTTCAAGTTTCCTTAAAGTGTCTGTCACAAAAAAAAAAAAAAAAAAGAAGAAAAAAATAGCTTATAGATCACGGGTCTCTTTTTTCACTGGAGGTTTCTGTTTTGTTATTAAAAGGAATCCCAAACACTAGTCAGTGTCTTACTGCATGAAAGGGGCTCACACTCCCCTGCATGGCAGAGGGGAGGGTGAGTGAGACAGAGAAGCACTGGCTTGACAGTGTGAAGACTGAGATATTATTTTGTTCTCTTCTTTACAGATGGTGTCAACACTGCCACTGTACCCAGCCCTTCATCAGAGGAAGCAGCTGAAATCTCTAAAGATCAAGGTAGGAGGCCATTTCCTATCTCTGAAAATGATTCGGGCTTTGTTTGTGAGGGGGATAAAAGTGTTCCAGCAAGCAAATTTAATTCTCCTTAAGCCTCTCTATTTGCAACCCCACCAGATATCCCACAACTCCATTTTATTGCATCTAGCCTTCCTGGATTTATATATACATTTGCATATGTTCCTCAGGGGAAGAAAATTCAAGGTCTATGAAATAAGAGAATCAGAGAATCAGAGAAATGATGTTCAGGAAAAAAAAGTGTTTCTTAGAAGGTACACAATGAGTTGGTTCTGCTTTTCCAGTTAATTATTAATTAACAGAAAAAGTTTGGAAGACTGTCATGTGAGGGCCACCTACCAGAGTTTTGTCATCCAATAGATGTCTGAAAGGCATCTTTAGAAATCAGTCTTTGGCAAAAGCATAATTCTTCATTTGGTAGGCAGTCACTATGAGAAACTGTTGCTGAGCTAGTATCCCTAGAAGAGGAGAAAGCTAAAAGAACCTTTTTCAAAAACTTTGGAAGGAAAACCAGTGGAGATATTGGTGTTGGGATACTAGAACTATAAAGCTATACATCTAAAAGGAAATAAAATACCCTCTCTTTTCTTCACACTCTGGGTTGACAAGGATGTCCCATACAAGAGATACCGTTATTTTCTCTCTGTCTCTGGTAATAACCAAGGCTTCTCTGTGAATGAGAGAATGGATCATTCTGAATGTACAGATAGACATCTGGTAACTTCTATAATCTTGAGATTTCTAAATGTGTTGAATGCATTTCTTCAGATTGAAGTGATTTGCAATTTGACTCACAGTTGTTACCAATAGCTTGTTCTGTTTGAATTCATGTTTGGAAAAATCAAAGTGGTCTTCGTTGCTTAATACACAACTATTTGCATCATTATTTCCACTTCACAACAGCTGTACCTGCCTTCTCTGTGGGAGACTTGAACTGAATTCCAGGCTCCCAGATTTAGTTTGGTGCAGCCCCAGATGTTGCAGGTATTTGGGGGGAGTGAATTAGCAAAAGGGTTTTCTCTCTCCTGCTTTCTCTTTCTCTCAAATAAATAAAAATAAATGAACCAAAAATGTAACAGTATCCATTACCTTTATAAAAATTAAAATGTCAAGGATGTCAGCTAAGAAACTGTTAGTCAACCTAAGAGAGTGGGAGAAAAAAGCCCAAGTGAGTCAAAGTGAGAAGATAATAAATTTTAAAATTTAGGCATTCTAATCATTTAGCTTGCGACAAAAATGGTAGTGTCATGAAGTTGAACAGTGTTGTTTAAGGAGAAGGAAATATGTGATCTAATTTGTATGCTGCAAGCTGAGAGCTTTGCTGTTGTGCTGTTTAGTTTGGAAATATCACACCTTCACAGAAACATCCTGCTGGAGATGTTTCCTGATGATTTTAGGATCTCACGCCTTTAATTGCTCACACCAGAATCGATTTTTTAGACTACTTTTAGGATTTTTTTAAAAGTAAAATTTTAACAGTGGTTAAGCTCCACCAAGGAGTTCTGTCATATATCATAAACATAGTTCCCTCAAAGACTAACGCAAAATTCTTAGGATTTTAATATCCATTTACCTATGTTAGAGAAAAAAAAGAAATGTTTTCAAATCTACATTATCATGTTCTCCACTTTCAATTAAAAATAGAACATGAAACAGGATTTTTGCCTTTTTCTTCTGAAATAGCACCTACTTTTACATTGATGATCAAAGATTAGACCAAGTGTCAAATGCTTATAGGACTGCCCTGTTAACTGATAGATGCATGACTTTAAAATGGAAAAATAAAAGAATTTTCCATTGAAATCCTCTGAGATTGAGGTCACACTAAGGTTAAAAGGCAATCAAATGCATTGAGAATTCATTTTACATATTCTCCAATATTAGCTTTCTTGTAGAACTATCTCTCCTCAGTGGCACCGGGGCTTATTTTAGAGCTCTGAAGTTAAAAGATCACTTACAAGCATGCTTATTACACTCTCCAGTTGAAGTGGCTGAGTGTTCTTTGCCCACATAAGGTCCTCCAGGGGCCTTTGCTCTCCTTACGTGGGTGTCAGACTTTGACCCGAGCATCTTTCTAAAGTTTTGGAATCACCAACATTCAGGTCTGCATTTCCTTCTCGTTCTGATGTAATTCCCAGGAAATTTTGAGATATTTTCAGTTAATTCCAATTATCTCATTGGTTAGCTGGCTTTCCATCTATGACAAACTGGATTCCAGCATGTAAGCCAAAAAAAAGCACAACAACAAACCCAAACCAGGAGGTTGCTTTTGATTGTTTAGAGAGAAAATGAAACACACACACACACACACACACACTCACACCAAAGTGAAACAGTTTGTAAAATGTGAAACAGGTCCCAAAGTGGTAGCATCCTAGTGTCTGCTAGACCCGTGATTTTGTACAAATGTTCCAGACATGTTTTCCACTAGGAAGCAAGAATCAGTGCTTATTGCTTACCCCACAGAACAGCTAACTGTGCAAGCTGCTAACAGAAGGAAGCACAACTGATTGGTTTATGGATCTGGAGTTACACAGTAAGCCAAACACTGAAAACACCTGCTCCCAATGAGTCATTTCAGCCATTGGGGGGGGGGGGGTAGGAGTTGACTTGGGAGGATACAATTTGAGGAAGAATACTAATGAATAATTCATGCAAATGATGTGCATGCCAAAGATGTAGCAACCAGAATTGAATTGAAATTAACCACAAGGTAAAACTGTCCTGGGAAATTATCTGTGGGTTTATGGGTGTCCTGAGATTGTTTTTAAGATAGATCATGTACCTATCAACCACTAAAAATAATCTATTAACTCAATGTTGGTTTACACCTTAAATTTTGTACAAAGGTTAAGGTTATTTGATTTCACTAATATACCAGCAGTCATATGAGAGGAACATATAAAGAAAAGTAACATCCATAGGAATATCAAATAACCGAGTTGGAACTTCTGCCAAAGTATTGCCTTTATTATTTAAGAGTTCTCCTTAGGTCAAGGAGAATTCCATGTTCTAGTTGTCCCAATACTTTCCATAGCTGACCCACCCCAACTGCCAAAGAAAGCTGTGCCACCTTACTGGGAGGGAAAAATGAAAGCATTGTTTAAACACGTCCTGTTTCATCTGTCTTGTTATTTAATCAGAAATTAGCTTGATTCTGAAGGTCATCTAGACTGAATCATAAACTCATTAGTATTAAACACAAAATCAATTAATACTCAAGCGCACACATGAGCTTATATTTCTTTGAAACTCTGAGTAAGTCACATCACTGTTGTTTAGTATATATAAAATGGGATGTTATCTGGCAAAGGATTTCTTAATTCATAATCTAGTCTCAGACACTTAGAGTTCAGAATCACTACAGAAAAAGGAGAAAGTCAGAGCCAAGAGTCATCCTCATCAAGACCGGAGGAGAAAAGGCAAGGTTATGGCCAAGAAAGCACATTCAGGTGTGTGCAAGAAGCATCAAGTGACTCTAACCAATGACACTGAGTCTGGATTGATGGATTTGGCTAGAATTATCCCAGATATCATTTCCATTCCTGCCTAAAGTGTTGAAGAAAATCCAAACATTACACCATCCATTAAAAGTCTCCTCCAGCCTTCCGAGACGGTGTTCACTGTCTGCCCACTGGGCATCTCACCCCATCACAGCAGAGACAAAGCTGCTCCCTTTCCTGGATTTGCAGTCCTGGACTGACGCACTGAATATACTGTTGCACACCTGAGTTATCACTCTGCCATTGTCGGAGTCTTAAGTGGGGAATGAAAGCAACTGTCCTCTGGTAGTTCAGTGAAGGAGAAACAGCCAAGATATATGGAGTACCTCCTGCAGCTATTGCTTTGCATGTATGTACATGTATTCTTCATTTTTCAGAAGGCTCATCTGAGATGCAGGGAAGGAATAAGGCAGGTGCGTAGGAGGAGATGGGAGGATGACTTTATTTATATCAACCACCAGAGTCAATACCTACATGCGCTTGTGCAGTCCTTAAAAAAAGGTGATGTGTCATACTATTTTAACCTGATGATGACTCTTCTGCTTATAAAATATATATATAAATATATAAATATACATATATATAAAACTAAGGCAAAGTCAGCCTTATCAATATCTAGATATTTGTAAAATATCTTAGTCTATTAAAAATATAAAAAATAAAAGTATATGATTATTTCTCCTTTTAAGAATTAAACTATTAAAAAGGCTCTTCCTGTTCTTTGGCTTAAATAGTCTATCCTCAATGTTCTGCTATGTCTTTACATATTCCTCATAGGCATGATTTTTTTATTAGAGGCATAATATTTCATGTTCTGGTTGTCCCACAATTTACAGAACCAGAGTTCTAATGTTAGATTATTTAGTTATTTACAGTTTTCTCTCTGTTATAAATAAAGGGAAGGAAATATACTACAAACATTTAAAATAAATCTTTGTGTGCATCTATGATCAGTTCTTCAGGGTAAATTCCCAATTTCATTGTTGATTTTCTAGGGAAAAGGTTAAAATTTAGTTTTGTTCTCCTCTATTTTCTGGTTTTCAAAGCAATGTGTTTATGATATGGAAAAAAAATCATCAAAAGAAGAGTGGAAAAAGATCATCCATGATTCCAATTCCCAAATAAGTATAAACAATATGGTGATACATTATTTTGTAAACAACCGTGAATGTATATCCATATATATAAGCAAAGTATATTAATAAATGATATCCATGTATATGAGTATTTGCTCAGGTTATTATGCAGTACAAGCCAGTTTGCAATAGTCTGCTAAATATAACAACAGACTGGAAAATTCCCCACACCTTTCAACCCAGCATCATTTAATTCTATGCTCCAACACGTGACTATTTCTTCATTTCTAGTTGTTGTTTCTGATTTCAATGTTTATTTCTATACTGTAGGAGTACCCTTTCAGGTTTGTGAGTATCAACGCTCATTATTTTTTTTCCATTAAATATTTTAAGCTATTTGCAT